ATACAAGTGCAAGAAAACAATAACAAGATAATACAAAGTAAAGCTAGGAGGGGACATGCTATCGGGGAGTAACAGATAAAAATGAAATGTCGGAAATAAGCATAAGAAACTCTGGTTCCCATGATATATGTGTATATATATATAGTGGACGGCGTGCCACACGATCCCACAATATCATATATAAGTGGACGGCGTGCCACACGATCCCACAATATCATATATAAGTGGACGGCGTGCCACACGATCCCAATTCATATCTTATATATAAGTGGACGGCGCGCCACATGATCCCAATTTTCATATACCACGTGGTAGGCGTACCACTCGTTCCCATTTCATCTTTATCACAGTGCACAATATGTCACCGGCAACGGAGGCCAATAACCAATAATCACTCTAATTTGTTGTAGGTGTACCACTCGATCCCATTTCGTAAAATCATACGTGGACGGCGTGCCACACAATCCCTTTTTAATGATGTACACGTGGACGGCGTGCCACACGATCCCATAATATAGTTCATAATATCTGACTTCATATAGTAGACCCCCTTCAGGGAAGAATAACAACTCAATACTTTTAACCCGGCAAGGGTACAGCCAACAACCCAAAATATCCCGACAAGGGAGAGTATATATCAGTATACACTCCCGGCAAGGGAGTAATCACAACACATTCTCTTTTTAAATCACTTTTTCCTCAACTAACACATTCCTGTTCGAGCTAACGCTCCAAAAATACACCAATCACAATTCTACCTCAACCGTTCGCATTATATGAAACTCATCAGTTAACCAAGACAGTTGTATCACGTCATTTGAATTAAAAGCAATTAAGACTCGCGGTCATGCTAGACTCTGGTGCATAGATAACTGTCACCATACCTATACACCGTACTTCACATTAGCAAGTAGCAAATAACATCCTAATCTTATTCCCTCAAGTCAAAGTTAGAACAAACACTTACATTGAATGCTTCAAACTCAATTCACGCTTCTAGTATAGCTTTACCTCTTGATTCCACCACCAATCCGCTCGAATCTAGTCATAAGTTACTTAATCACATTAATAATTACTAAATGAATCACTCCCCATGCATGAAAATAAATTTTACAAGTTTTTTTTTCAAAATGGTCTGAAACACCCCCGGGCCCACTTGGTCAAAACTCGAGGTTCGGACCAAAACCCGGTTACTCATTCTCCCACGAATCCAAATATATGATTTGTTTTGAAATCGGACCTCAAATTGAAGTTCAACTTCTCAATTTGTAGAAGCCCTAAGTTCTACCCAAAACACTCAATTTCCCCCATGAAAATCTTTGATTTGCATTTGAAATCATGTTAAAAGATGTCAAAGAATAAAGAAAATTAAGTTAGAAATCACTTACCAATCGTTTTGGAGAAGAAAAGTTGTTTGGAAAATCGCCTCTTAGGTTTTGGGTTTTTGAAAAGTGGAAAAATGACTGAAATTCCCGAATTTATATATTTTTGCTGGGGGCTGGCGCTGACCGCGCAGAAATGCACCGCGACCGCGTGGCTGCCAGCGCGGACCGCGCAGAAATGTACTGCGGCCGCGCCGAGGGAGGGAAGAAGTGGGCTCTCTCTGAACCCACCCAGCGCGGACCGCACTGATTTGGTGCGCGGCTGCGCTGGTCGACCCTCTGAACCCCACCACGCGGACCGCACAGAAAAGCACCACGGTCGCGTGGCTGCCAGCGCGGACCGCTCAGAAATGGCCGCGGCCGCACTGGGGCCTGCAATATCTGAACCTGCATTTTTAATGTCTAATACCTCCCGGGCCCCACTCAAAACTTACCCGAGCCCTCGGGGCTCCAAACCAAACATTCATGATCTCGAAAATACCTTACGGACTTACTCGTTCGATCAAATCGCCAAAACGACATCATATACATAGGATCAAGCCTCGAAACACATGATTTTCTTTCAACTTTCATAAAACTCAAATTCCCCATTTTAAGTCCGAAACACGTCATATGACGTCCGTTTTTAGCCAAACTTTACAGATAGTGCTTAAAACATATTTAAGACTCGCACCGGGCGTCGGAACCAAAATACGAGCCCGATACCACAGTTTTCTGATCAATTTTCTTCTTCTTTTTCCTTAATTAATTTCAGAGAACAATTTCACACAAAAATTCATTTCTCGAGCTTGGGACCTTGGAATTTGATTCCGGGCATACGCCCAAATCCCATATTTTTCTACGGACCCTCCGGGACCGGCGAATCACAGGTCCAGGTCCGTTTACCCAAAATATTGACCGAAGTCAATATTATGCATATTAATATCAAAATTCATCAAATTTTTCACATAATTCGCATATTTCAACATAAAAGCTTTCCGGCTATGCGCCCGGACTGCGCACGCAAATCGAGGCAACTAAAAGCGAAGTTTTCAAGGCCTCGGAAGCGCGGAACAAGGAAGAACTACGGTGATGACCCTTTGGGTCGTCACACACAAGTTGTTCAGTTACAAAAACAAATAGCCTATGCTTCATAAATAGATAAATAGAGTTGCAGAGATATACCTGTTCAGTATTTATTTGCTTCCTCAAAATTAGTTAGTCCACAATTTTCTTTAGTTTAATGAGCACCGCCTGATAAAAAAAGGAAGAAATATATATACTTTAACACATTTTTCATTACTCCAGTAATAAGATTAGTGACAAATTCAGAACTATAATTTCTACTTACTCACGTTTACTTCTTGGGATATTTATTGCAAACTAGAGGACTTAAACCTTTTTTCATATATTATGTAATATAGTTCCTCATGCTATAAAACTAAATTGAGGCACATAATAGTAACCAAATGCTTTAAAAACCAAAAGTGAGACTCTAAAATTATATGAGCAGGAAATATATAAGCATAAGAAAGAAACCATCAGGAAAAAAAATTAATATTAGAACATGACAAAATAGACAAGGAAACATCGACAAACAAATATCATTCGAGTCTAAAGCAAGTATCTACTAATATTTAATGTGCCTTTAATCATTAATCAAGAAAGGGCTGAGCTATATTCTATTTAAATTATAATCAAACTCATAATGTATCCTCAGAATCAAACTCGTCCTCCTCTTATTCAAACTCATCCTCTGTTTCAAGCTCGTCTTCTGATTCATTGCAAATCTGTAATAAAAAGCACATTAAAACATCTCGTTCAATTGGGCAGTAATAACTCTAAGTTTGAAATCAATATCATGCAATAGAAGTTAGATAATTGCCACTGTAAAAGTAACTCCAACGTCTCTTAGGTACACATAGGACCATATATCCATCAAACCATACTTTCGAACCAGATTAAGAAGTGAATATACATATAAAAAAGGATATTAAAAGTGTTAAAACCTGATAACTTCAAATAAGTGTTAAACCTGATAACTTCAAATAAACAATCACTATATAACTACACTGAATTTGCAAAAAATAAAGGTGAATAATATAAAAATTTAGAAATTGAAAATACCCAAATTCACAATATGAGGCAAAAAGTGGATTCAAAAATCTGGAATAATTTAGTTTCTAGCTATTCAATGATTGTGATACTTACCTAACTACATTGTCTTCGTTTGCTATTCATCATGCTACAGGAATCTATACTTTCTTTTCCACCATTATTATTTACAAAGTAAACTTTAAATAGTCTATCAAGAAATATAACTTTTTGCAACAAAAATATTAACTACCTAAAAAGATAAAGATCGCCAAAATGCAAGATCATAAATTGGGAAAGTAAAGAGTACCTATTAGAGACTTTTTCATGAGATGAGTTTTATCTAAATTAACTTTGTAGAGGCTTGTTCAGTTCTTTCTTTCTTGGGATTAGAAAATTAAAGAAAACAGAGATGGCCAGAATATAACTAGATCTAAAAGCCTGAGAACTTACAATTCTAAAAGAAATAGAAGAACAGCAACCAAGGATGAAGCAACGAAGAAATAGAAGCAGTGATTGAGGGCATTGGAGCAGCCGTGGCGTGAAAACTATTTTGCTCCTTATTCCTATAGGGTTATCTTGGACTTATGAGAATTGGCGGAATATTAAGTGTAATTTTAGTGGGAAATTTTTTGGGAAATATTTTTTATAAGGAATTTCTAGGGTACGTCTGTAAAGGGTTGCATTTAGTATGACAATATAGCAACTGTCCAAAAATGTTGCAATATAATTAAAAAGCGTGGCCAATTTTTTTTTATTTAGACAACACTTAGAAAATGTTATCTTTACAATTAACGGAACGCTTTATAAGTGTTTCCTTAAAACCCGTGGCCAAAGATTCTACTCAAAAATCATGCCTAAAAAGTGTTCCTATAGATACTTTTGGCAACACCTTTTGAGCGTTGCCTAAATAAGTGTGGCTATAGGCCTAAAATGTTGTGGTGTGGGGGCTTGGAGGAGTAGCGGGGATGCGAGTTGTATGTAGTCTATGACAACAAATTTTATTAGAGAGGTGGCGAGAGAGGTGTTAAGCGTCTCAAAGGGTTTTCCTGGTAGCCATAAAGGGGACTGATGGTGGAACGAAGAGGTGCAAGGAAAAGTAAAAGCCAAGAAAGCGGCATATTTGAAGCTAGTAGAGAGTATAGACGAGGGACAGAAGAGTGCTAACAAGGAGGGGTACAGGGAGGCTAGGAAGGAGGCGAAGTTGGCAGTTACTGCAGCTAAGACCCGGCGTTTAGTCCTTTATATGAAGAGATTGGGGATAAAGGCGGGGACAAGAAGTTGTACATGCTAACGAAGGTAAGGGAGCGGAATGCTCGGGATCTGGAACAAGTGAGATGCATAAAAGACGAGGAGGAAAAAGTTTTATTGGAAGGGGCACGGATTAGGCAGAGATGGTAGTCTTAGTTCCATAAACTCTTGAATGAAGAGGGAGATAGGGGCATTGTGATGGGGGAGTTGGAGTACTCGGAGCGGCAGTGAGATTTTGGGTACTGTAGATGCATACGAGTGGGGGAGGTTGTAGGGGCTATGCGCAGGATGAGTAGGGGTAGAGCGATTGGGCCTGACGAGATCCCAGTGGAATTCTGGAAGAGCGTGGGTAAGGAGGGCTTGGAATGGCTTGCTAGGTTGTTTAACGTCCTTTTTAGGATGAATAAGATGCCCGAAGAGTGGAGGCGGAGTACGATGATCCCGTTGTACAAGAACAAAGGGATGCCAAAACTGCAACAACTATAGGGGTATAAAGTTGCTAAGCCATACGATGAAAGTATGGAAGAGGGTGATTGAAAGGAGGTTGAGGAGGTGTGTGTCCATTTCCAAGAACTAGTTTGGTCTCATGCCAGGACGGTCGACTACTCAGGTTATTCACATTGTGAGGAGATTGGTAGAGCAGTATAGGGTGGTGAAGAAGGACTTGCATATGGTGTTCATTGACTTGGAGAGAGCTTATCAAAGTCCCGAGAGAGGTTCTATGGAGATGTTTGGAGGCTAGAGGAGTGCTTGTAGCGTATATTAGAGTGATCCATGACATGTATGATGGGGCTAAGATACGGGTTAGGACAGTAGGAGGAGACTCTAACTACTTTCCGGTTGAGATAGGGTTGCATCAGGGATCAACACTTAGCCCGTTTTTGTTTTCCCTAGTGATGGATTCTTTGACGCGTCACATTCAAGGGAAGGTGCCTTGGTGCTTGTTATTTGCAGATGACATAGTCCTAGTTGATGAGACATGAGGTGACGTTAATGAGAAGCTGGAGGTCTGGAGACATACTCTAAAATCTAAGGGTTTCAAGTTGAGCAGGACCAAGACAGAATACTTGGAGTGCAAGTTCAGCGGTGCTATCCAGGAGGCAGACGGGAATGCGAGACTCAATACGCAAACCATTCCCAGAAGAGAAAGTTTCAAGTACCTGGGATCTATAATTCAGAAGAATGGGGAGATAGATGAGGATGTCATATACCGTATCGAAGTAGGGTGGATAAAGTGGAGGCTCGTTTTCGGTGTCTTGTGTGATAAGAATGTGCCACTGAGGCTTAAGGGTAAGTTCTACAAGGTAGTAGTTAGACCGACTATGTTTTATAGGGCAGAGTGTTGGCTAGTCAAAAAGTCCCACGTCCATCAGATGAAAGTAGCGGAAATAAGGATGTTGAGATGGATGTGTGGACATACTAGGTTGGATAGAATTAAGAATGAAGTTATTCGGGACAAGGTGGGAGTGGCCCCTGTGGAGGCAAAGATGCATGAGGCAAGGTTGAGATGGTTCGGGCATGTTAAGAGGAGAGTCACAGATGCCCCAGTTAGGAGATGTGAGACGTTGGCCTTGGGAGGTGAGATGAGGGGTAGAAGTAGGTCAAAGAAGTCTTGAGGAGAGGTGATCAGGCGGGACATGGAGAAACTTAAGCTGACCGAGGACATAACCCTAGATAGAAAGGTGTGGATGTTGAAGATTAGGGAAGAAAGTTAGTAGGTAGTCGTGTGTTTCCCTTGTCTTCTCTAGTTCGATAGTGTTAGTGCTAGTATGGTAGCCTTTAGTTTTCTATACTCGCATGTCTTGTTCCGTTATTACTTGCCATCGGTAATTCCATAGTTCACTAGCAGTACTTCGTTCATATTCTAGTGTGCTACCTTGGATTTATTTCTCTAAATATATTATCTTGCTATTACTTGTTATCGGTACCTCTTTCATATTCTCTGTTGCTATCTTCGATTTAGTTTTCTAATTACTTGTCTTGCTATTACTTGTTATCGGTACCTCTTTCATATTCTCTGTTGCTATCTTCGATTTAGTTTTCTAATTACTTGTCTTGCTATTACTTGTTATCAAGGCTTCCTTCACCTTCTTTAGCCAAGGGTCTATAGGAAACAGTCTCTCTTTCCTTTCAGGGTAGGGATAAGGCTGCATACATCCTACCCTCCCTAGACCCCACTTGTGAGATTATACTGGGTTGTTGTTGTTGAGTTTCATTTGAGATTCCCTCCTTGACAAAGGGAAATTGTCCCATATTGAAAGCGGAAAAGGTTTTTGATTGCTATATAAATAATTGCACTTCTTCTAGCTCTTAAAGAATTAAGAACAAGGCAAGCCTCGCGTCGTCGTCGTTATCGCTCGCTCGGCCCGGCCTCGACTTTGGTCAAATGATCGATTGATTGATTGATTAATTTTTTTGAACCAAATTTATTTATTAATAGCAAATATTAACAAAAATGTTAATAGCATAAATAGCCATTTATGTTATGGCCATTTTACATAAACAGTCATTCTGAAGAGTTGCACCTCTTAAGTTTGAGCTCAACATTTGCTATAAATACCAGTCCATTCTCTCAAATTTTCCATACGATTTTCTGAGTCCTCCTCCTTTCTTCTGCATTGTTTTAACTTCAAAGAAAGCAACAGTAAGTGTGATTTGCTACCGAACTTTGTGTTCACTGAAACAGTAGGGTTTGAAGTACTACTACACCAGTGTGTAATTCGTTCTATCCTGGGAGGAAATAATCCACAACCTTGGGTACTATGAGGGGGTTAAGTTCCTTAAGAAAATAATGTGAATTCAGTGGGCTCGGATTAACTTCTGTTTCCTTTATATTGTTGTTTATATGTTATTTTATTTTCTCCAGAATTACTTTACAAATACAGTATACTAACAAGCTTAAGGAATTTAATTTATTTTCTGTATTTGAGTTATATTCATTGTTCTGGAGATTAAAACCTTTGTGGTTTTCTACTTCGTTAGAGATTAAAATCTACATGATTTTAACATTTATTTGTGTCATTATTTTACAGAAATGACTAATGACAACGGGAACCAGGTTGTTCCAATGGTGACTGCCAATGCATCGACAAGCCGAACACCGGCGTTGGTACCGGCGAAAAAACCCAGAAAACTTTTCGAGATTGATTTCAAGCGGTGGAAGCAAAAGATGTTCTTCTACTTGACTACTTTAAGTCTACAGAAGTTCATTAAGGAAGATGTTCATGTTCTACTCGATGAAACTCCAGAGAATGAACGCTTTCTCGTAATTAATATGTGGAAGCATTCCGATTTTCTGTGCAAGAATTATATTCTTAGCGGACTGGAGGACGATCTGTATAATGTTTACAGTGGTGTGGAGACGTCAAAAGAATTGTGAATTGCGCTTGAAAATAAGTACAAAACTGAAGATGTTGGGTTAAAGAAAGTCGTTGCCGCTAAGTTTTTAGACTACAAAATGGTAGATAGCGAGTCTGTTATTACCCAAGTCCAGGAATTGCAAGTGATTATTCACGATCTTCTTGCTGAAGGTATAAGTTGAATTAATACTGATGCTAAAAGTAGTAATTTTAGTATTTTTACTAACATAAATTTCATTGAATGTCTTGTCATCAGTGAAGCATTCCAAGTAGCAGCGATGATTGAGAAGTTGCCTCATTTGTGGAAGGACTTCAAAAACTACTTGGAACACAAATGCAAGGAGATGTCACTTGAAGATCTCATTGTTTGGTTGAGAATTGAAGAGGACAACAAAGCTGCTGAAAAGAGAGGCCGTGGAAACTAAATAATAATGGGAGCAAACATTATTGAGGATACTTCTCAAAATAAGAGAAAGAGGAAGCAGGCTTCAAGACCGAAAAGCAACCCAAGCAAGAAGCGGTTCAACAGAAATTGCTACAACTGTGGGAAAGTTGGACACAAAATATAGATTGTCATGCTCCGAAGAAAAACAAGAAGAAGGGTCAAGCAAACATGGTTAAAAAGCACGAAGATGTTGATGACTTGTGTGTTATGCTTTCTGAATGCAACCTGGTGGATTAATTCTGGAGCCACTCGCCATGTTTGTGCTGTTAGGGAAGGTTTTGCTACATATACTCAATGATAAGAAGTGACAGGGGTGGTGAATATGAATCCCCTTTTAAAGAAATATGTTTAGAATATGGAATTATTCATCAAACAACGGCCGCTTACACTCCCTAATCCAATGGGATTGCAGAGAGAAAGAATCGTTCATTAAAGGAGATGATGAACACATTGTTGTTAAGTTCTAGTTTGCCACAGAACTTGTGAGAGGAAGTCGTTCTCACGGCTAACCGGATAGTAAATCGAGTACCCCATAGTAAAACACAATACATTCCATATGAAAAATGGAAAGGAAGGAAGAGTGTGGGGGTGTTTGGCAAAAGTGCAAGTTCTTAAACCCAAAAG